CGCCAAAGCAACATCGTCGCTACGGAATTTTTCAATCGTCCCGTCTCCGCAAAAGCGTAGATCAAACGCTTCGTGTGCAGAAATTACACGAGCTGAACAGAGTGAAACAGAGAAGCGATAGAAGGAGTCAGGTTCGAGAGGGAACGGAAGGAAAACGATAAAGTGGAGTTCTGCGGGGGTACGGAGAAGGGGGTTTCCGTAGAGGAAGGCAGAAATCGATTCGTGATGGTTCGAATTACGGCTTTCCCCCTCCCCCCTCCCCATACCCTGTCCAATTATTCGCCCGCGCGACATTAATTAAGCAAGATAATTTGCTCTCGAACCGCGCGCTGCCTGATATAGCGTCCGCGGTAACCTGCCGTTCTCGCGTTCACATTTTAATGATTCACGTATGCCCTGGGGTTTCGTTCTCTAGCTGGAAATATAATTTCGCAGATATTAAAAGAGAAAGAGAATCTGCAACTAAGGGAAAAACGTTTTATACATATACGCCAAGTTGTCCATATGTAAGCATTTTTATGCGCAGAAACGCAGAAACGAAGTGATGAGATACAAAAGCTCGAAAAGAAAAAAAATAGATAAGAGCCGTATAATCGATGCATGCGAGGATGAATGAGTAATGAAGAACTTTGCAGAAAAGTATGTATTATTAGATCACGCACATTAAAGAGGATGGTGCGATGGAAGAGGGCGATGCGAGTGGAGACGAAACGGGAAAGGAACAAAACGAGAAAAGGGAACGGGTTGCATCGTTAGTGTACTGGTAGTGTACTCGTTATCATGTATCGCTTCGTAATTATTATTATACGCAGCTGCTAAGCAACCAGCGATGACGCAAAGTGCACCAGGCGGACGCAAGTGTATTTAACGCGCGCTTAATATCGGCGCACCAATTTCATTTAGTAATTGCAATAAACATGGCAGCAACTAGACAGACGTATTTCTAGCGATGCTTTTCGTTCCGTGATACTCTTTATCCCGTGTCATATTTTTATAACATCTAATCAGCAGATTTTTTAAAAGAATGATATATATGCAAGGTGCAACGAATAAATGTACGCCCTTTATTAATGGTGCGCTATATTATTTTCTGATGTTTCAATTTCGATTTAAAATGAGAGAGAATACATGACATATCGGTCGAGTATTTGTACAGATGACAATCGT